GGGAAAGGAGAGGTGATTGACACACCTGGGGAAGAAATCTACAGGGAGAAACCTGAGGTATCTGAGGCAACCCATGACATCACATCACAACACGTGGGTAGTTAACCTTTGAAAGAGGAACAATGCATAATGGAGCCATTGTTGCCATGTGGTTGGTATCATGAGCCATCGTGGTGAAGCACAGAATAGAACTTGCCACTGGTTAAAGTTAGAAGGTAGTATGTTTATTACAGCACCAGGCACACAATGAGTCTTCTCCAAATGACATGTGTGAAGAATCACAGGCTCTGGCTCTTTATCTAAAAAAGTCTTACATATTGATATAATTCCCAAAACGCCTAATACATATTCATTAGCTAACCCATCTACTCCCACTTTAAAATGTATTATAATTGAGTCCAAAGTTCCTTCATGCTTGTGCAGTCTTTCACTTCAAATGGGTTGGTGGGTTTTAAAGTGGGGAATGGTCTCCTTCTGATGAAGGCCAAGACATCTTCCTCAATTTGACCTCTTTACTTAGGACCTGTTGGCAGGCTTTCGCACCCCTTGGCTAGAGCTGAAGTTTCAGGGCCCAGGTGCAGGCTACGGTCCTCTCCTTTGTCACAAAGAAATCCGCATCCCATCCTGCTTCTTTAAACATAGCAAAGACAGGCAAGTGATATATTACCCTAGCCTGAACTACTTTACCTGCTAAAAATTAACTATCCCTTATTATTTCTACTCTTCTTGCTGTACTCTCCCCACCATACTAAATACTTATCGCCAGTCGGGGGCTATGTAAAATCACAAACGGGATGCAACTGCTGTGGAACATGCCTTGAGCTGTTTTGTTTTTCAGTATCAGTCTCATTACATGGTTATGATAATGGGAAGATGCCATCAGGTCACATCCCAGGCAGCAAACCAAGAACTTATAGTTACAACTTACTTTATAAGTTTTTTGACCAATCACACAAAGCAAAAGCATATTGACAGTAGTTCTATCCAACCACTATAAGCACACATTAAAACAATGCTTATTTTGAATACAATACCTACTTGTAAGCCTTAAAACACAATGCACAGAGCTACAGTATTAAGCTTCAACCTTCCTAATATCTTGCTAGATAAACTTTTCTGTAGCTTAGAGAGTTATTCTAGACAAGCATTAATACACAGACCATTGTTCTATTTGTCCTTGCTTTTCTACTTTTTAAATATTTTTTCTGCTGACCTATCTCATGGCTGCTGCTTAGCTCTAATCACAGTTCTGCTGTCTCTGAGGCCTGCCTTTTGCATCTTTCCCAAAACCCTCTAATTTTGTGGATTCCCACACCATCCTGTTTCTTTAAACATAGTAAAGACAGGCAAGTGGTATATCACCCTAGCCTTAACTACTTTACCTGCTAAAAATTACCTATCCCTCATTATTTCTACTCTTCTTGCTATAGTCTCCCCCCCATACTAAATCTAGTAAACTTTTAACTCTTTCAGTTTTATTAAATCCTTGATTCATTCCCCTCTTTTTCTATAGGGCTAGTAAATTCTTTTACTAATACACAGTTTCTTCCTCATCTAACCAAGTCATAAGGTAAGTATCTTTGAAGGCTATTCCATATGCTCTTAGCATTGAATTCAAGACTGCCATTATGTGTAGCATCCTCCAATTCCAAATAAGTGTTGCAATGGACAAAATTAAGCTTCTGGCAGCTATTGCTATTGCATTGCCAAAGAACAGAAATAAGTAAGTTGTATGCTGAGAAATGCCTTTCGAGAGTTCTGGCCTGATGCCCAATGTCCTTTGGATAAAACATGTCAGCAATGAAGGGCCAGAGCTGACATGGAGTCTTACACACCTTGGTCAAACCATTCGTATTGCAGGTATGCTGGACACAGGGGCGGACATCACTGTGATTTCTCGTGCATCCCGGCTGTGCAATTGGAATTTGGTGACAGCCATGGGTGCTCTCGCCGGAATTGGAGGAGCTATCTTGTGTCTGCAGACTGAACTCATGATTACTGTTACAGGTCCCAAGGCAAGGACGGCAACCATCCGTCCCTTCGTGGTGCAGAAGCCCATCACAGTACGGGGGAGAGACGTGTTGCCCCAGTGGGGAGCGAAGATAGAAGTGGATTTTTGACAAAAACCACAGCAACGCCTGCCACTCTGAAATTACCATGGAAAACCAATCAGCCAATTTGGATTGATCAATGGTCTCTTGAGCAGAAAAAATTGAATATTCTCAAAAAATTAGTAAGTGAACAACTACAAAAAGGCCACATCAAACCTACAAACAGTCCTGGAATTGCCCAGTTTTTGTCATTCATAAGAAGACTTCCGGTTCTTGGAGATTGCTCCATGAGCTGAGAAAGGTCAATGAAATCATAGGGGACATGGGGCCTCTGCAACCTGGACTTCCCTCTCTTTCAGTGATTTCAAGAGACTGGCCTCTTCTTGTCATTGACTTAAAAGATTGGTTTTTCAACATTCCACTTCATCCAGAGGATGTTCCTTCATTTGCCTTTTTGGTTCCAGCCATCAATAGAGTAGAACCACTGCAAAGGTATCACTGGGTCTTTTTAATGCAAGGAATGAAAAACTTGCCCAATCTTTGTCAATAATTTGTGGCAAGAGATTTGTCTCCAGCCCTGTGGGACAATACCCTATTCCTGACGCAGAGATGGGGCAACTGAGAGGCGTTTTAAAAACTTCTATTCCATTTTTAGTCTCATGAAAAAGGTGAGACAATATAGATGTTAAAATTGATGCCATCACAATCAGAAGCCAACCATTTCCTAATTCCAATACACTAGAAGCATTTCTTGGCCTATCAGCTTTTTGCCACACCATGCTGTAGATGGCTTAAAGCCAATCACCAAAAACTGCCCCTCGTGCATCCCACTGCAATGCATCTTTCAAAGTTCTATTTCTCCAAAGTATCTAGTCTCATTTGCAAGGCCATCCTTTGAAACTTTTTTCTAGCTCCATTTCTCTCTCAACAATATCTGTCCTATTCCATGGCATATCTAAGTCAGCATTTCTTGTCTCAAAGTCTGCATACAGATGCATTCTTTGTGGGCCTCCTGTCACGCCCTGAGAACTCTCTACAAATCCATTTCCCACAGTTTCCCATCTCGTTGCCCAGGAGCCCCTAGAGTAGCTACTTATTACTTACAAGGGTATCGTCTACAGTTGACGAAGGGGACGATCCATTCCTCGTTTTAACAGCCTGGACCTCCAACAATCGCACCGTCCACGGTCTTCATTGTGAGAATCCATAAAATTAGAGGGTTTTGGGAAAGCTGCAAAAGGCAGGCCTCAGATACAGCAGAATTGAGAGTAGAGCTAAAGCAGCAGTTATGAAATAGGTCAGCAGAAAAATTATTTAAATTGTAGAAAAGGCCAGGGCAAAAAGAACAATAAGCTTATGTATTAAAACTTGTCTGATAGCTCTCTAAGCTGCAGAGAGTTTATCTAGCAAGATATTAGGAAGGTTAAAGCTTAATAATGGAGCTCTGTGCGTTGTGTCTTACAAACGGGTATTATATTTGAAATAAGCAAGCATTGTTTTAACCAAAGGAACGTGTGCTTATGGTGATTGGATAGAACTACTGTCAATATGCTTTTGTTTTGTGTGATTAGTCAAGAAGCTTATAAAGTAAGTTGTAACATTAAGTTTTCAGGCCTACTGCCAGATTGTGAGCTGCTAGCATCTTCCCATTGTCATAATCAGGTAATGAGACTGATGCTGAAAAATAAAACAGCTCGAGGCACTTTCCCAGCAGCCCTGTCCTGTTCGTGTCTGTAAATAACCCCTGGCTGGTGTTTCATTTTTATTTTTATATTCCTCTAGGCTGGAAATCCTCCTCACTGAGTGTTGGAACCCAAGAAATTCCTCTGACTGCCCTGGAGGACTCAAAACCCTGTCAGGGGGCTCAGAGACCTTGGCACAGAGCCCAAGACCCCTGTGCCTTTGATCTTGACCCATGGGAAAAACAATTACCAACCTTATCTTAGGATTTACAAGCCACGAAATTTTAAGTAGAATGATATAAATTTATCACAGGGTGAAAAATAGATTTTTTTGGGGATTTTAGAATGGTGGTTCAGGAGGCAAGACTGGGGAATCTGGGCGTGTCCAGCCTTTCTCCTTCTTCTTCTTGGCCTCCATTTTCTGCTGTGCTGCTGGCACTTTTAGTTTGGTTTAGAGTAGAAACTCACTGTCTAACATAGGTGATAGGTATTGGGAAGTGATGGTAAATAATGCACACACGTAGATTTTAGTATAAAAAGATAACACCGCCTCTGAGGTGGGCAGTGTGCCTCAACCCAACCTGCCAGACAGACCTCGGCGGGTCAGAGAAAGGATTTCATAGATAAGAAACAATAAACAACCTCGAGAATGAGGACAGAAAAAATCCTGACTCCTTCTTCGACTGCTGGGCTGGGAAAAGAGACTTTCTAACACATCTCAGGGTCATTCTGACCAGCAGAGATTCTGAGAACTGAGGAGAAGCTTTCTGAAAACCCTCTGATTTTAAGGATTCCCACAATATACTACATAATACAAATTTTAATATATGTAATAAATAGAATATTTAATACTATAATACTATATAATACTGTAATAAATAAAATAAAATATATAAAATGTATCCTTGATCTTTTTCAGAGCCAGCAGGCCCTTGCAGTGAGTTCTGAGCCAGTGTGTGGCTCTACTGCCATCCCAAATCTGTGCTTCCCTTGCCCAGCCTGAGTGCAGGTGGGGCTTGTGCTGGGCATGGCTGGAGATTTGCATGGCCAAAATCCTCCTGCATTTACATCTGCTCATGGCTTTGGGTAGCACAAATTACAAGACAAATTACAAGACAATCTACAATTACAATCTCAGTTGACAAATGGCATTTCTTACAAATTGCTACACCAGCGCTGACAACATAGAACTCTACAGATCTCTGTTAAAAAGAAAAAAATTATTTGATTGTTATACCACACTATTCAAAAACTTACAAACATCAACTTCTGTTAGCAAAAACTAATTTATTGCAAACCTCTACAAACACTCACTGTACACAAAGATCAATGGAAAATTAACAGCTTGATTTATTGCATATTTCGACAAGCATACAGCCCATATAGAAATACAAAAATATCAGTATCTCTTACTAATACCAAGAACTCAACAAATAGAATTACAACACCATACAACTCCATACACATTCAAATTGAACTGAATACATATATAACTACCACAATATATAGATGTGAATATAGGTTAAATGTTACCTATTACATTCAAGAAACAGATACATAAAACAAATCTATCTATAAATAGACAAACAGCACTACCAATCTAAATATCTGTACAACTGCATCGATACAAATATACAGCTATACATCCAGATATATACATAAATAGAACATCTCTAGAAATAGATCAATATACAGCTAAAAATATAAAACCAGACATATATACTGATACAAATACCAGTACAGCTATTTAAAAAGACATATATAGAAAACTACATCAATACAAATAGATACCTACACAACTGTATACAATATGGAAATCTAAACATAGATTTTACAACATACATAAAGAACTAGATACATATATGTGGCAGTGAGGGTTTGAAGCCCTGCCTGTGGTGATTTGCAGAAGGAAACAAACTCCACAACTTTTGTGGAAGCTGTAGAGCTGGTATGTTTATTACAGCCCTGGATGCATGTGGGAATCATTCCCCTAAAATGACATGCGTACCTCTGGGAACTCCAGATCCCTGTTTATTTCCTTCTCAAATACATATGCATGCTATTTCACAATAGGTTCATACCAATTCATTCCACTGATTTTGTGGCATGACGCTTGCCGCTAATTCTTCTTTATCAGGAAGAATTCCTGGATCAGGTTGCCCTGCTCTGTCTGCCCCCCCACTCCCCCCTTGTCTCTTGTCCTTCGGCTGAAGCAGTCCCTCCAAGCACAGGCCCTTTGTGAGAACAGGCAGTCAGACTAAACAGCAAGCTACAGACTTAAAGATGTACATTTCACCTAAATCAAAATGGATTTCTATTCTGGAAAATTTCCACTCTGCCTCATTCTCCCCTTTCCTAAAAGGAATCAGTAAATTCTTTTACTTCATGCAAATTCTTCTGACAAATAAGCGTGCCTTAGTACTTTACCATGTATGTTTGATAAGGAGGTTAACACAGCTACTCACTGTAGTGTTCTCCAATTCCAAATAAACAATATAAAGGACAACCCTAAACTTACTCAACTAATATTAACAAAACTACAATGGGATGATACAACTTATTAAAGATTTCATTTGCAGTTGGTGACCATCCAAAGATTACATCCCGCCATTGATGATCTGCATTTTGTTTTATTCTTTGCAGAATTCTAGTTATTTCTTTTGTATCATGTTGGACAGTAATTAGGGTTTTCTCTCCATTTTCTTGGATTTTCTTCAAGATCTCTAGTAGGTCTTGGTGTTTAATTAATTGTTTTACCAATGTGAGGTCCATTCCAATAGGAGTAGGTGATAGTCTGTGATACATTGTGTGATTGGTTTTAATCAACTGGTGGGATGTCACTGGGGCCAAGTATGAAAAATCACATTTGATAATCTTAACAAAATTGCCAATACAAAAATTAGAATGATTTCTACTAGACAAAATAACATCTTTGTTATCAATTTTTACAGCAGCACAAGCAGTTCTCAAGCACATCCAACCTTTACCAGTATATAAGAGCAGAGTTTTCTGATCAGTGACTGGATGAATTTCGAAGTGGCAAATACTCTGTTCAGTGTCTAAACACACATCTTGGGCATTAATAGTACTGCTTTCACAAATGAATCCTAGTTGTTCTCTTGTAATGCAGGATTCTAAGTTTACTGTTTTCCACTTTTCATTCACCTTTCGTGCCCACACCCTATGTTCTGAAGGGTAGAGCACAGTTTTTTCATTATTTAATCCTAGTGCAATGACAGGGTGGATAATGTAAACAGTGGCATTACGTATGGTAAGCACAAAGGCAGTAGCCACATTAGAAGCAGGATCAGAGGTGAAATTTACCATAGTCCACCAGGACTGAAACTTCCTTTCAAAATTAATCGCATTATCCCAGACAACTTTCCAAATTTCAGCTGGAAAATTACCTTCACCCCCTTCCCATATGATCAGAGCTGCTGTTGCCTGCATCCATAACTGTGCTTGTATACTACTGAAAGCTAAAGACACATTATCTTGAACTGTACTAAGCACTTCTACTATTAACTTGTGGTCTTGGTCCCTGGCCTTTTCCCACTTTGGCAGTACTTTTGAAATCTGCCACTGGCTAGTTCCTAATGCCAACAGAGATGACTGTAAAGGCTGGTTCAATTTTGCTAGGCCACCTGCTGCAGTGGCCAGCTTCTTCATCACTATTTCTCAACCGATTCCATTTAAAACTCTCAATCCTGTCCTTAATGTCTCAGTTAGATCCTTTCTGCTCCTGAGGTATACCTGTCTTTGTAACCATGTTGTCCAGCCCTCAAAGGATGTCCTTAGGAAAGAGGAGCAGGCTGGTTGGATTTTTGAGATGTTAATTTGCATTAGCAATTCAACACACTTGAGAGACCATTCTGGATTGAACAATGGTTGTTGTTCACTCACATTCCTCACTATGTATGGGCCTATTTCATACACTTCAGGTTCAAGTTTGGGTTGGGTCTGAACCTAGTGTGAGTTGTATAAGGTCTTGCCGTTGTAAAAAGTGCAGTATCTATTTTAAATTTAAATGAGAGCCTGATAGCATCACGAGCCCAAAGGCAAATCACTTCTACAGGCTGTATTAAGGTGAAATTACACCAACAGTCTGATTTGCTTGGGCTATTGCAAACTTCCTGGTGCAACCTACAGGAGAGGTTGAGACACTAATTGCATCTGGTCTCTCATGAACTGTCCCATTGACCAGCCAGCACCCTACCTTGATTTCTTCTCCTCTGATCCCTTGAAGTGTCCACAGTTCCCATTCCTGCCACTCCTGCTCCTCATATACCTGATCCCGGTGGATTACTACAGTGGACAGGTTTAGATCTTTTATCTCAGGTTTTCCCATGGATCCAGTATACTGATTAAAAGCCTGGGACCAAGGCCAATCAGCATCGCTTTGGATAGAGGTACTCTCTAATTCTAAGACTCCAATTATAATTATATGCAAAACAATTCTGTAAATGAAATTACAAACTACGCCTGGCCACAATATACTTGTTTTGCCTGAGTAAGTTTTAGTCTCAGTTCATTGTCTCCTGGTGTCACTCTCCAAAGGGCTTCTGGGGCTTTCTTCACTCCAGAGTGGTGGATCGGGGCATTCTGCTCCTTGATCTCGATTGCGGTGGTGAGAAGCACCTGGAATGGTCCCTTCCACTGTGGTTCAAAGTCTTTTCTCTAAGAGACTTAACATAAACATTATCCCCAGGCTGTATGCTATGTACTGGTCCATCTAGCTCCCTGCTCTGAGTTCCAGTCACATGCTTTCCATTTTCTCTGAGCTGCCTACTTAAAGCCACCATATAGGTATTGTGGTTGGAACTCCAAAAGCGGCATTGTTTACTCTGGTCACCTCTCAAGCCTTGACAGTTCTGGTGGGGAACACTTCTGGCCACCCTGAAAATGTATTTGTGAATATTCATAAATACGGACACTCCCCCTTTCCATGGGAGTTCTGAAAAGTCAATTTGCCACTGCTGTTTGGATCCATGACCTTTCCCAATCTGACCTCGTTTTGGCCTGGGGTATTCTTGGGGTTAGTCTGGAGGCAAAGATCTCACTGTCGGTTTATCTGAGCAATAGTGGCATATAAATTCCTGGCAACAAGTCTTTCAATCAGATATGTGTTCTAGAAAGCCTGTGGAAACTACTGCTTAAAAGTCAACACTTCCTTTCGATGCACTCTGTAATACTGGCAGCCTTGGTCATTCTGGGAAAGGAGACACACTTTATAAAAGCTTTTAAGAAGTTAGGTCCCAGTGTGTTTTCTGGTGCTCCTCCTTTACTAGCAACCATACAAAGGGAAAGGGATTACCAGCTCCCTTTAAATGGTAGCTCACCCCTTGTGGTTCTATGTCCCTTTTCATTAGTATTATTATTATATTCTGGCTTACCTTCAAGGGAAATCTGTCCATAATTACCTCAGCTTTTGCTGCTTTCTTTGCCTCTCCATCCGCCAGCTCATTTCCTTCCTCCAATTCTGAACTCACTCTCTGGTGTGCCTTAATATGCATAGTTGCTACCTTTTCAGGCAGCTGAACTGCTTCCAGCAGCCAGATTATCTCTTTTTTACTTGTGAGGTCAGTAGTCCCCTCTCTTTCCAGATGTCTCCTTGTGCATGCACGACTCTGAATGCATACCTCCAGTTTGTACAGACTCTCTTTCCTTTTGCCATTTCCAAGGCACAGGTCAGGGCAATTATCTCGGCCTTCTGCACAGTGGTGCCTGTTGGTAAGGGTCCAGGTTCTATTACCTCTCTGCAGGTGGTCACTGCGTACCCAGCATGTCACTTTCCATTGGCAACGTAGCCACTCCCATCAGTGAACCAGGTCTCTGCGTCATCCCAAGGAGCGTCCTTTAAGTCTGGGTGGCTGGAGTAGGTAGCTTCAATGGTCTCCAGGCAATCGTGGTGTACTGCTTCTCCTTGATTTCCACTGAGAAAAGAAGCTGGGTTGATGTAGCCTGCCCTGCGGCCACAGGAACTGGACAAACGCCAGCTAGCCGCTCCTGGTGTGGGGCTGGAGACCATGAGATCTGCCACTCCCAGGTTCTTCGCAAGAACCCCGGGTAGTGGTGCCGTCTGCAGCGTGGGTGGCGCAGGCGAGAGCGTGGCTATGAAGTTCTGAGATGAAGGAAGGAGAGAGCGGACACTCGTATGGAATACCAAGGCGCTTTATTGCCCCAGGTGGGACCAGCGACGGCATCAGGGAAGGACCACTCGGGGAGGCACTGATAAAGGGGATGGGCGTGACAGGAGGAGACATGAGGGGACCAATAAACGAAGCCCAGGGGAGGAGCATGGGACACAACTGAGCCAATAAGGATTGCACAGGGGAGGGAAAAGGCTCAGGAGACAAACCATATCTCAAGTAAGGGATAATTGACACAGAAGGTTCTCGAAATAAAGGGGGGTGGTTACAATGATAGACAGGGGAACTGGGCAGCACCAGGAGGGAGGAGATAAACTTATAAGGACATAAGAGGAAGGAGTAGGGGATTGGTCACCTTGATGGACAGGCCACTAGCAGGAAAACAAGGGACAAACAACTCAGGGACAAACCATTGTGAGGGAGGTACATGGGGGGAACTGGGGATCAAACCATATTTTCAACTTATAAAAGAATAACCAATTTTACAACAAAACTTGTATAAATATCTTAAAACATACAATGCTACAGGTTGACAATATTAGTTACCTCTATCTCTACATCATCTTGCTCTGCCATGATGGTCTGGTACTTCAGGAACCTCTTTGGTGAAAGCCAGTGGCTGCCCTTTACTGCCAGTACTGTGGACACTGTGTGGGACACTAGCACAGTCATTTTCTGTCCCAGGGTAAACTTGCGTGCCTCTTGAACATTCAGCACGACTGCTGCTACAGCTCTGAGGCAGCCTGGCCATCCTTTGGCTGTTGCATCCAGTTGCTTAGGGAAGAAACTGCCCTCCGATATGGATCCAAGTCCTGAGCCAGTATTCCCAGGGCAATTCCCTGTCTTTCATGGGAAAATAGAAAGAATGGTTTACTTACGTCTGGAAGTCCCAAAGCTGGAGTTGACATGAGGGCACTTTTTAGCTGGTGAAAGGCCCGTGTGGCTTCCTTTGTCCACTGGAGATCTGTGTTTCCATTGGCAATAAGAGCATAGAGGGGTCTGATGAGCAATCCATCATTATAAACCCACAGCCAGCACCACCCTGCCATGCCTAAGAAGGTTCAGAGTTCCTTCATTGTCTGGGGTTTCGGGGTTTGGCATATGGCTTCTTTGCGAGCCTGCCCTAAAGTCCGTTGCCCAGCGCTCACCTCGTACCCCGGGTAGATTATTTTCTGTTTCACTGCCTGCGCCTTTTTCTTTGATACTCTGTTTCCTTGGAGTCCCAGGAAATTCAAAAGGCTTACCATCCACGCCACACATGCTTCCCTCGTCCGAGGGGCTACTAGAAGATCATCCACATACTGCAAAAGCCTTCTTTCTTCCTGTGGAGCTTCCCAGGACTCTGGATCTTTGCAAGTTGCTCCCCAAACAGAGTGGGGGAATTTTTGAAGCCCTGAGGCACATGCAAACTGTGTTTTGTGCTGCTTTTAGGGCTTTCCCATTCAAATGCAAGAATTTTCTGGCTGGCTTCGTGGATAGGGAGGCAAAAGAAGGCATCTTTCAGGTCGAAAACAGTAAACCAGGTTAGCTCAGGTGTTAAATAAGTTAGTAAAGTATATGGATTTGCTACCACAGGATATAAATTCTTGGTTATCTATTGGAACTCACTACATCCCTCCGGGTGTCCAGAGTTGCCGAGGACCCCACCAGGGGGCTCGGAGACCCTGGCGTGCAGCCCAGAACACCTGGGGATTTGATTTTGACCCCTGGAGCAAGTTGCCAGCTTTGTATGAGGACATGAAAGTCACACAGGTTTGAATAGTATAATAATAAAATTATTGCAGGGGGAAAAGGTAGATTTTAGGTTTTTTCGTACGGAGGTTATGGGGACAAGATGGAGGAACTTGGGCATGTCTAGCCTTTCTTCTTCTTTTTGTTCTCCATTTTCTGCAGTGGCGTTGGCATTTTGGGATTGGTTTAAAGTAGAAGTGCACTGTCTAACATAGGTGATAGGTATTGGGAATTAAGTGTAAATATGTTATATGTAGTTTGTAGTATAAAAAGACAACACCCCCTCGAGGGTGGTCAGAGTGCTTGTGGCTGCAGAGAGAAAATTTTCTCTGGGCAGAAAGAAAATTTTATAGATAAGAATTAATAAACAACCTCAAGACCAAAAAGTGAAGAGTTCAGACTCATTCTTCAGTTGCGTGGGCCGAAGCAGAGACATCCTATGCATCCCAGGGCAGCAATTATCAACCAGCTACCCAAGATTTGGTGTCTACTGGCTGGGCATGATCCAAGAGGGCACTGATAAGCCTCTCAGGATGCAGCCAGAACAGCCTGAGAAGCAGCAGCCACTCTCAAGCCATCGCACTCTCAAGACCATCCAGAGAGCTTCTGCCAAAGAGACTTGTACCAGATCAGTCCGGAGTGGAACCAGAAGATGCCCTGGATCCTCTCTCCTGTGAGAGGATTTCTTGTCATTACATCATTTTGGTGACCAGGACCTTCCGACTGACCTGACGACTCAGATTTGGTAAGAAGGTCAAAATTAAGAACATGGGGGGGACATGCTCCCAGGAACAGTTAAGGATTTTGTCAGCCTTACAAGGCGTGGCAGAGGCACACCCAATGGAAATTTCAGAACAAGAACTTAGAGATCTTTTGCTATGGGTACACTGTAATTATCCGTACTCAGAGACACGTCTGTTGTTCAAAGCAGGATTTTGGCAGGAAACCAACAGACACCTTTATCATTCAGCCACAAGAAAAGATGAAACAGCCATGAAACTTTTACCATCTGCATGGGTGATGCTGGAAGTAACAACAACAAAATCTGGGAAAATTGCCAAACAGCAGGTTGCTGAAATTCCCACAGGGGCAGAGGGAGGGGAGCAAAGCCAGAAGCAGAGGGCAGCTCTTGTTCCAATTGTCCCAAGGGAAACAGAAATAGCTTCCACAGAAGGTGAGCAGGAGGGAACTTCATCACCTCCGATTCCCTCATCACCCCGAAAGCCCACGGTATCCCCAAAGCATCTGAAAACCCCAGCTATTTCAGGGTCATCGGGCTCAGACTCAGACACCCTCTCACTGCCGGGAGAGCTCAGGGTTGAAATTTCCCCAAGTGAATTCGAGGAATCGGACTGCGCAATTATCGAGAGGTGTCCTCCCAATTTGCAGAAGCCAAAGGGTCGTAGTGGAGGGAAAACAGCAGAATCGGGAAGGGGGGCCGAAGTGGGACCGGAGGGGGAGGGGGAAAAACTCTCTCGCGGCGGGAGCGGTCACGCAGGCGGCCAGTGATGGCAGCCTCAGGCGGCGGCAGGGCCAGCCGGCGAGGGGGGGACAGAGGCGATGGCAGACATGGGAGCTGACGCGGCTTGTGCGGGCGCGGCGGCGGCACTTTCCAGCGGCGCAATGCAAAAAACGCGAGCGAGGGACAGAAACCGCGAGACAAATGTGGCATGCAAAATGCAGCCACCCGGGAACACGTCTCAGACCGCGGCGACAGCGTCCAGGGACAAGCCAGGCGGGACAGCTGCAGATTCCCAGCCGGCACCCGTAGGGAGACGCGGCAGGCGCGTGGTGATGACGCCATCCCCAGAAGTTGGAACGCGGAGATCTGCTCGAATCGTGGTACGGACACGAGCCAAACGGGAATTGCGCGCGTCGGTGGCGGATGCAGTGTCAGAGAAGGAGGAGGGGGACTCCGAAACAGATCAAGCTAGGGGGGAAACACCGGAGGCGGAATGGGACGGAGACAGTGATGCCAGCCTAGGGGAGAAAGGAGGGGTTCCCGAGATCGCGTGTGCACGGAAGATGCGGGCAGAGCGTGGTTAGAGGCGAGTCTGCTCCCCTATGATGACACAGGCAGGAAAGGGGCGTGCTCGGGGCTCGGTCGTATCCCGGGGCTCCACCCCCTCTCCGATCCCAGTCCCTCCAGTCCCAATCCCTTCGATCCCGACCTCTCCAGTACCGAGGAGACACACACGTATCCAATCTCAACTGCCAGCCCAGTCAAAAATCGGTCTCAATCAAAATCGCAAATGCTGCAGTCAGTCGAGCAGGAGTCGATCACGGTCGCGACGCCATCACAGTGAACTAGGCGGGCGACAGCACCACCTTGTGCTGGGACCACCACATTGCAGGAAACCGTGCCAGATCTGATCGACCAAGCCACAGCGCTATCTGGTGGCAGGACCGCAACATTGCAACATTTTTTTCCAAATACATACAAAAAGAACTCTAAGTCGAAGAAAACAACTACAGCACAGCAAATGGAGTTTTCATCAGCTTCTGAATCTAATGAAGCTCAAGACACTTCTGATGAGGCACAGCAACAGGATGATACAATACGCATTACTGGCTAAGAGGGTGTTCCAGCATGGATGTTTTCAGCAGCAACAGCAGCCAGTTCATCAGGCCGGAAACCAACAATCACTGTGCCAAGGAGTGCAGCCAAATAGCTTCTACAATATTAAAACATGGCCATGGGAACACTAGCACAAGAATTTCAAATTCCTGTTCCAAATTTAGGAGCAAGGCCCAAGACTTCAACAAAATGAGGAATGCAGATTCCAGAGACACCGATGACTTCTACAACTCCACTGTACATGCAGGTACCCATGGAGATGCAGGTACCTGAAGAAGAGGCAATTGAAACAATGGATTGGACAAATATTAGAAAAGAATGAGGAAAGGAAAAAGACTTATTGCAAGGTTTGTGAGACATCACAATGCCAGTGAGATATTATGCACAGGGTCAGAATCCAAGGTGGGACAGACTGGATCACAAGGTAGTCAAAGAATTAGCTAAAGCTATCAGAGACAATGGACTGAATTCACAATATTTTAAGCAGGATCTGAGGGGAACTTTCAACATGTATGATTTAACACCTTATGACATCAGATGTCTTGTGTCAATGATTCTCACCAACAACAGAATCTTGTGGGGTGCGAGATGGAGAAGATCTCTCACAGAACTGAGGCTCAGATACCAAGGCAGACCAAACGCAAACCTCACAGTGGCACAGTTAGCAGGTGATCCTCCAGACGACAATCCAATGCAACAAGCAGCAAGGCTTCCAAGATGGGTGCTGAATGACATCAAGGAAGCAGCACGAAGAACAATCCTGCAGATCCCTCCAGCAGGAGCGCAAGATACCCTCTTCACAAATGTCAGACAAGGTCCTACTGAACGCTTTTCCTCATTCACAGATCAACTCACACAAGCTGTGGATCGACAAGTGACTGATGATGTGGTGAAACCACATCTCACCAAAAGACTTGCCTATGCCAATGCCAATCTGGATTGCCAATGGGTCATCAGTGCAATGCCTGGTCGACCTTCTTTGGCAGAAATGGTGGAGGCATGCAGCAAAGTGGGAACACCTCAGCACGTTGCATCAATCATGAAATAAGAACTGTGAGGAGAGTTGGAAGAACAGCTGGAAGGACAGCTGGGAGAAAGAATGGAAAGAATGCTTCAAACGCAGAATGAGAAGATCGACAAGATTGACAAAGTTTTAGCAAGCATTGAAAAGAAAAACAATTCATCTGGAGGACAATGCTACAGTTGCAGAGCATTTGGACACATGAAGAAGAATTGCCCACAAGCGCAAGTGCCAAAGATAGAAAGGCCACTCTGTCCAAGATGCAGAAGAGGAAGACATCTTGTGAATGAATGTTATTCTCAGACAGATGTGGATGGAAAACCTCTACTGTATCTGGGAAACGCCAAAAAGAATGTGCAACCTCGTCAGGGCGTGTCTACACAAGTGATGGTGATGACACAAGAGCAAACAGGACAATCATCAGAGAATGTTGGACAGACTCCCTCAGCAAAGTCATCAGCAGAATCCCCAGTGATCCAGAACTCCTCCCACCACGAGCGAAGTGCACATTGGCAACTTCAAAGTTAACGTGCTTCTTGGATGGAAGTCACACAGTGATATCAACAGGTGTCAACAGGATGTCACCAAAAAGACAAGATTTCTTGATAATCGTAAAGACAGAAGTAGTACCCTTGGACTTGTTGTTTATCCTTCAATTATTTCAGCAAATCGGAATGAAGAGTTGATGGTTTTATCTGAGGCTCTTCAACCACCATTGATTGTTGCAGAAAACACCCCAGTAGAAAAAGCTATTGCTTTGCCACCACATGCCATGGAGCAGGTCATGCCAGTGTTTGATGAAGAAGGATTTCCTTCTAAGGAACATGTGGAAGTACATACTCCCTGGGTGAAACATATAAGCTGAGATCGACCCACTGTCACTTGTCAGTTGACCTGTGGAGAAAGAACAGTCGTCACCAGAGGAATGCTCGACGTGGGGGCAGACGTCACAGTTATATCATACGTCTTTTGGCCTCAAGAATGGAGTTTGATAGCGTCCTTGGTTTCCCTCATAGGCATAGGGGGAAGTTCTCTGTGTCTGCAGAGTGAGAATTCTATTGTTGTCACAGGACCAGGAAGCAAAACAGCGATCATTCGTCCCTTTGTTGTGCAGAAGCCCATCATGGTATGGGGAAGAGACCTTTTAGCACAATGGGGCACGAAGTTGGAGGTGGATTTTTAGGGGGGGTCACTGTGGCACTCACCACACTGAAGTTAACCTGGAAGACAGATGATCCAGTTTGGGTGGATCAGTGGCCCCTTGAGCAAAAGAAGTTGAGTGCATTGAGAAACCTCGTCCAAGAAAAACTGCAAAAGGGACACATCAAACCAACACACAGTCCATGGAACTCTCCAGTGTTTGTCATCCAAAAGAAAGCTTCAGGCACATGGAGACTGTTGCACGACCTCAGGAAGATCAACGAAGTCCTCAAAGACATGGGACCACTTCAACTGGGACTTCCCTCAGTCTCAATGATTCCCAGAGATTGGCCGCTTGTGGTCATTGACCTCAAGGACTGTTTCTTCAGTATTCTGCTTCATCCAGATGATGCTCCAAGACTTGCCTTCTCTGTTCCAAGCATCAACAAGGAAATGCCTCTGCAGTGGTACCATTAGGTGGTTCTTCCACAAGGACTCAAAAACTCGCCAACTATCTGCCAATGGTACGTGGTGCAAGCTTTGTCACCAGCGTGGAAGAAATATCCGAAGGCAAAAATTATTCATTACATGGATGATTTGCTCATTGCAGCGCCAACACAACAGGAGCTGCAAGAAACTCGCAACTGTGTGATTGCAGAAGTGCAGAAGGCAGGTTTGGAAATCAGTGTCTCAAAGATCCAAGAGATCGCACCATGGAAATATCTAGGGTGGAAGATCTCAGAGAGAACAGTAAGACCTCAGAAGATGGAGGTCAGCACCGAAGTCAGCAATTTAGACGATCTACAACAACTCCTAGGAGAGATCAACTGGATGAGACAAATTTTGGGAATCACGAATGATGACATTCCATCGTTGCTCGATCTTCTGAGAGGAGACACAGACATCAGATCTCCCAGAAGACTCACACCCAAAGCAAGAAAAGAACTTGAAAAAGTTACAGAGGCCATTCAGAAGAAGCAGGCACATCGATTCATAGAATTGCTGCCCTTCGAATTGGCAGTGTTGGGAGAAAAAGTGCAGTTCCATGGTCTGATTTTTCAATGGGATTTGTCTTAAAGAGACTCTCTATTGATCATAGAGTGGATCTTTTTACCTTACCTTCAAAGACAATTTTCACCGAGCTGGAGATGGCAGCACATATTATCATAAAGGCTAGAACAAGGTTGCTGACAATGGCAGGCAGGGAATTTTCAACAATTCATCTACCGTTGAAAAAAATTATTTCGATTGGGCGATGCAGAAATCAGAAGATCTGTTAATTGCATTGTTAGGCTTCCAGGCGTTTGCACAATTAATTTCCCTCAGCACAGAGTCTTGCAATCAAAAATATGCTACAGGGAAAAACTGAGAATAAGTGACGAACCATTGGACGGGATCACAGTATTCACTGATGATTCAGGGAAAACACACAAGTCAGTGAACACTTGGAAAAATTCAACAACAGGGGAATGGGACTCAAACATAAAAATAGTCTAGGGCTCTCCACAAATTGTGGAATTGGCAGCCGTGATCAGGGCATTTCAATTGTTAAACAACCTCTCAATCTGGTCACAGATTCCACATACGTTGCGGGTGTGGTCAAACAGTTGGAAGGTTCACTTTTGAAAGAGACAAGCAATGAAGTTTTATATTCATACTTGTCATGCATGAAAATACTGTTACAAAGCAGAGAACATAAATATTCATCACTCACATCAGAGCACATACATCACTTCCATTCCAAGATTTCTAGCAGAAGGGAATGCCCAGGCAGACAGGTTGAAAATGCCCATTTCACAAACCCTATTGGACATTTTTGAGCAGGTAAGATTGAGTCATGCATTTTGTAATCAGAATGCACAGGCACTGATGGAATCCTTTCGTCTTTCAAAGAGCCAGGTGAGGGAAATCATTAGTGCTTGTCCAGATTGTCAGCTTGTGCAGCTACTTGCTTCCACAGGAGCAGTCAGTTCACAGGGACTGCAAAGTCTTCAACTGTGGCAAGCTGATGTCACAAAATATCCGTCATTCAGAAAGCCCAAAAATGTTCATGTTTCAGTGGACACATTTTCAGGAGCAGTCTTCGCATCAGCACATACAGGAGAAACAGCGGAACATGCCTGCCGACATTTCTTGCAAACATTTTCATCATTAGGTGTATCTCAGGAGATAAAAACAGACAATGGGCCAACATAAACAGGGAAGGTGCTTGACAAATTTCTGAAAAAGTGGGGTGTCAGACACACATTTGGTATTCCATATTCCCCCATGGGTCAAGCAATCATTGAAAGAACACATCATACCCTGAAATCCCTTTTGGATAGACAAAAAAGGGGGGAGCCAGAGGCAACACCCCACATGAGGTTGAACAAGGCATTGTATGTGTTGAATTTTCTCAACAGCTCCTTTTCAGAGGCCAATCCACTGATTTTAAGACATTTTTCAAAGAGCACTCAGGCAAAACTAAGGGAGAATCCTTTAGTTTTGATCAGAAACCCAGAGACAGGACAAATAGAAGGTCCCTTCAAACTAATTACGTGGGGCAAGGGTTTCGCTTGTGTTTCCACAGGG